GGGGACATCCAGGAGGAGGGTGAGTGGGGGGGGGGCGGGTCCGGGGAGGAGGGTTATTTGAGAACCTACAGAGCCGTCCTCTTTGCTGGACCTCAGGGGTGTGTCCTAAAAGCTGGGGCCTCGGGTGGGAGGGCCCATGGGGCGGGGGCCTCGGGAGGTGGGATCCACCAGACATGGCCTCTGGCTGGGCCTGGAGAGGGGCGCTCTGCTAGGCCACAGGTAAGTAACGTGCCTATCTATCTCTGTCTCCTCCCCAACAGCTATCAAACTAAGACACCTTTCAGTTTTTCTTTCTTGGATTTAGGATCTGGCAAGGGTTCCCATCCCAGCTCTGCTGTTTCAGCCAAAGCACTTCACTGGGTCGAGTTCCTCCTGTGAAAATTGACGAAAAGAGTGCCCACTTCATGGAGTTGTTGAGTGTATTAAATGAGAAAAAAACTTGTAAAGTTCATAGGACAGTGCCTGACATAGCAGTAATTAATATACTTTAGATATTTACCATAGGTCATCTGTGCACTAACGCCCAGTCCTGGGCATACAGTAGGCATTCAGCAAATGTCAGCTTTTGTCCTTTCTTCCTGTCCCTTTTCCTCCCATTCTATCCTCTCCACCATCTCTCTACTCCCTCTGCTCCTGTCCTCTCCCTACTCATTCATTCAGACCTTTTTTCATTCATGCAACAGATATTTCTTGAGTACTACATCATTCTGCCAGGCACTATGTGAGGCATTAGAAATACACCAATGAACACAACAAGTAAAAATCCCTGCCTTCTCGAGCTTACATTCTAGTAGGTAGACAGAGAGCCAACAAATAAGCAAACACTTATATTAGAAGGTGTAGGGGGAAACAGACCACTTTTCCATTTCCCATCATCCCCTGCTACCTTCCCTTGTTTGCAAGGCCCCCACAATTCCAAACCTGCTGTGATCAGACCTGCATAGTGCGGGGCTTTGGGGAGGATGCTTCAGGAGGAGTTGCCACAACCTTGGCTTGCAGGGACTCCATCAGGGCAGGAGGTGACATAGGAGGATCATTCTGAGCACTTAGGAAGTCTGTGTGGATGGGGCCAGGTCATCCTGACAATGGGCCCCCAGAGTGGGAGATTCTGGGGACTGTTTGTGAAGAGAGGATAGAAGTTGGCATTACAGGAATGTGGGAGGAGATGGAGGCCATCCTGGGGACCCAGGTGAGACATATTAGATGGAGAAGGGCCAGGCTGCCAGCCTAGAGTGGGGGGCAGCAGCAACAGAGACTGCATTAGCTGCTGGGGCAGGTACATGAAGGCCTCAAGGATAGACTGAGGATCAGAGTACCCTACCAGCTCCAGGGAGCCCCAGGCCAATCCCCAAACCTCCCTGTCTGACCCTCCCGTACAGCCTCAGCTGTCACCTGACTCAGGGTTCTGGATGGGGAAGGAAGGAACTCTGTCTACTTCTCCCACCCCTTTTTGTTTCCATCAAAAGTATATTCACATAAGTAAAGGACTGAGGCCTCAAGTTTAGACACTGGGAGCCATTGATTGTTCTTGGTAAGATCAGAGCTGAGCATTAAAAACATTCCTCTAGCAGCAACAAGTAAATGTTGGGTTGAGGAACAGACCAGTGAGAAACTGGGCCTATTGTCCTGGTCCAAAGTCATGCCTCCTGACCTTTCAGGGCATTTGCCATGAAAATGCCAAGAAGTCACAAATGAGAGGCTTTCCAGACTTGGGAACTGATTGGGGAGAAGATGAAACAGGGGTCAGGGGCAACCACCAGATTCCATGCTTGGAAACTCAGTATGGGACCACACACAGTTTATACAACATCTTTGTAGAAAGGGCTGCCCTTTCAGGGCTGACAGCTCAGTGATTCTCACCCCTACCTGAATCCTTTGTGATACTTTTGTGCAGTACAGGACCATCCATGGCAGATCTCATTGGATGCTTGATGGGGTCATTCTGGAGTTGAGGTTGTAGGAAGAAGGGCAGAGAGGAGTGGGAGGAGACTGATGGGTTTTGGATGTGGTGGGCTGAGGTGCCAGGGGCATCTAGACAGAGATGTCCAGGAGGCAGCTAAAGGGGACCAAGCTGAGCCCTGGGGAACAGGGGACTCCATTCCTGCCTCACAGCATTTCTTATCTGGTTCTGCCCACAGACCCCCTGCCTCTACCCTGGGTGCTACAAGAGGTGGAGCTAAGGCTGCTGGGAGAGGCTGCCTGTCAGTGTCTCTACAGCCGGCCCGGTCCCTTCAATCTCACTTTCCAGCTATTGCCGGGGATGCTGTGTGCTGGCTACGCAGAGGGCCGCAGGGACACCTGCCAGGTGAGGGACCAGGCAGAGCCCTAACTCATAGGAAGCAATATGAGGAATAGACAAATCCCATCTGTCTCATATCTCTGAGCCTCGTCTGCACAAAGAGGACAAGATTGACAGGGAGGGTACAGCTCAGTGGTAGAGTGTGTGCTTAGCATGCACAAGGTCCTGGGTTCAATCCCCAATACTTCTGTTAAAAACAAAAATAAATAAATAAATAAACCTAATTACCTTCCCCCAAAAACAAGCAAACAAAAAAATTTGGTCCCTAGTAAGAGCTAAATAAGTATTAGCTATTATCATTTCATATGCTAGCCTGTTGCACAGCACTTGTTACTTAGTCGATACTCAATAAATATTTTTTAAAATGAACTAATCCTTCAGAGAAGGGAATTTTCCAGATAAGCTGCTGAAGGCCTAAACCATTTTTCCCAGAAATAGTCTTCAAATGAGACACATTTTTGAGGGTGTTCAAGCATGCATGGTGGTGATAGGGATTCAAGATAGATGGTCTTCAGTGTCCCCTCCCAATTATGAGGCCCCAGGACCTATGGACATAATCCTTGCCTTCTTGAATTCCAACAATTCAACTTCCTTTAGGCCAGCGCTGTCCAATGGAACTTCCTATGATGATGGAAATAGTTTATATCTGCACTGTCCAGTGTGCTAGTCACTAGGCTTCTGAATATTTGAAATGTGGCTAATGATTTCAAATATTCAATAGCCAATGTGGCTAGTGTGACTGATGAATTTTATTTAATTTTAATTAAATCAGCTAGTTTTCTACCATATTGGACAGCACAAATTCTAGATGATTCTTTGTGACCCTCCTCAGGTCACTAAGATGCCTGGCCTGGATTACACTGATATCTTAGGAGCAATGCTCCAGCATTAAATGGCCCCAGAACCATTGCTTTAGTATCTGTTCCTTGTAGTTCTTCCTCCTGACTTGCCTTCAACTTTCGCTTCTTGCTGCTTTTCTATTAGCCTATTTCTTCTTTGCTGTTTTTTGGTGGGGGGGGGGATTAGGTTTATTTGTTTGTTTATTTAAATGTTAAATGGAGGGACTGGGGATGGAACCCAGGACATTGTGCATGCTAAGCATAGAGTCTACCACTGATCTAATAATGCTCCCCCTTCTCTTAGCCTATTTCTGACAGACTTTTCCTCCTGAATGGTGGCATCTCTGATTTGCTTTAATAAGTTAACAATGAACTCTAACAACTAAGAAACCAAAGACAGGGTTTGTTTAAACTGTTTCTTGAGCAAGAATCCTTTGGCTCTGAATGAGACTTGCTGCCCTGCCTGGCGGGCATGTCCCTTAATGCATTAGCTTTGTGCTCTTTGCTTCAGCGACTCATTAGCCGTTCTGCTTTACAAGACTTTCTTCTGTTTAGAGTTGTAGGAAATACAGAGGACAAAGCACAGCCACTGACAGATTTCTAGGAGAAGGTGGCTTCATGGAGGGCCAAGAAGAAGATGTGTAGAACCTTTGAGAGGTGGTCCAGTAAAAGCTGATGTGTCCGTGGGCTGGCCTCCTGACACTGAGTTATTTATCATCAGGGAGACTCTGGAGGGCCCCTGGTCTGTGAGGAAGGTGGCAGATGGTTCCAAGCAGGAATCACCAGCTTTGGCTTTGGCTGTGGACGGAGGAACCGCCCCGGAGTCTTCACTGCTGTGGCTCCCTATGAGGCATGGATAAGGGAACAGGTGATGGGTTCAGAGCCTGGGCCGACTTTTCTTTCCCAGTCCCCGCAGCCCCAGTCAGTTCTCTCGGAGCCCACGGATGAGAACTGCACCATTGCCCTGCCAGGTGAGGGGAGCAGGACCCCTGGATGTCACCTGGATATGGGAAATTGGAGTTTGTGTAGAAACTGCTGGGGAGTTCAGGAGGCCCCCTGACTCAGGCCTCTCACCCCTCAGAGTGCGGTAAGGCCCCGCGGCCAGGGGCCTGGCCCTGGGAAGCACAGGTGATGGTTCCGGGATCCAGACCCTGCTATGGGGCACTGGTGTCTGAAAGCTGGGTCTTGGCACCTGCCAGCTGCTTTCTGGGGTGAGTGAAAACCCAGTCTCAGGCAGATTCTTGCCCCTTCTTTCATCAATCTGAGACACTAACTGGCCCCAGCCCCTTCCCTGGTTGGGGTAGGGATAGTGATGTGGGGTTCCACTGGGAGGTGCATGATTCAGCTCGAAAATCAGGGTCCTGGTCTCTCTGGGACAAACAGAGAGGTAATGTAAGTTCCACCCAGGACGTGGGGGTCTGAGAGCACAGTTCTCAGGCCAGGGATGTAGAATCCTGCCAAGAGATTCGGAGTCTAAGCCACAGGCGCGAGGTTTTGAGCTGAGTGTGTGGGATCCGGCCCACGTCCCCATCCTCCCCATCCCGCAGCCGCATCAGCTCAGACCACCAGCCTGGAGACCTGGACAACTGGCGCGTGCTACTGCCCTCGCGCCCGCGCGCGGAGCACGTGGCACGCCTCGTGCCGCACGAGAACGCCTCGTGGGACGACGCCTCGGACCTGGCGCTGCTGCAGCTGCACGAGCCCGTGAACCTGGGCGCGGCCCCGCGGCCAGTGTGCCTACCCCACCCAGACCACTATTTC